TTAGATTCGAGCAGTTATATCTATAGAATTTATATATTATAAATAACTAAAAAAAAATGGATAGATAATTATCCTTATAATCATTAATCACCACATACTTTTAAAAAATAATCAAACGAATAAATATTAATTGATAAGAATGATAAGTTTTTAATTAAATTGTTCAACGGTAAATTATGCTAATTGTCCCATTTTATTTTCGATCTGATTGATTTTAGCCATTAATTTTTTAATTAAGAGCGCTTGGTCACTTATGTTATCGATCTATTTGATTTAAGTCGTTAACCTCCGAAGTTGAGAATTTAAAAAAGTAAAATATCCACTTCACTTCTTCTTTGATTAAAAAAAATCACGTCAATTCTTCTTCTTCTTCCATCTGGTAAAACTGATCTTGGATGGGTTCTAGGTTCTTGTAAAACTGGTAAACGTTGCACAAGTTAAAATTCGATGTGATTGCCTCGGTTACAATTAAAAGCCTTTTAACATCCACTGCTACATTCCATAAAACATTTAGAAACCATTTGGTTGAGCTAACTGATTAAGTTTACATACTTTTCAGCTAGATCCTTGTGCTTGTCAGCATCCAGATTAGCTATCACAACATTATCTTCCATTTTAAATGTTGTTGCTACCTTTTCATCGGTCTGCAAAGACGAGATCAAAGGGTTAGAAACGAGATAATTTCGGTCAAAATAATCATATGCCTACTTCATTCAGCAAAGATATAGATGCTTACTGGAGCAAGGTGTTTGCAGTGGCCACACCTAGCAGAAAACCAACCCAGGACTCAACACGTTAAGTAAAAAAGATGCAAGCAAAAGAATATCGACAGCAAGATTTGATACACCATGAGGTCCTTAAACAGTGAATCTAAGATGGAATAGCTGCACTAGAAAAAGCTCTTAACCTTTTGGTTCTTTGCAAAATAATCATTTAAAAAAAAGAAGAAACAATCACATGCTTACCAATGTGCATAAAACTCAATCAACACATCTTTAGTCTCATCAAGGACAACCTGAGCAAAATTATCAGCATTTTAGCACTACAACATTGGATGGCAAAGTGACTATCTTCAGATTGGTCCTTGTAAAACAACACACAACCTTAGTAAATCTTTCGAGGTGGTGATTGGGCATCAATGGACATTTTCAACTTGTGAAACACAAAACTAATAGCTTAAGACGGATTTTTTCTGAAAAAAACAACCATAGCTAGAACTTGTGCAAAGAAAAGAAGAAGAAGAAAGAATAAGCGTCTGGTAAAAGTTGTTAACGTTGTACAAGTTGAGACTGGTAAAATCAGAATCCATCCAAGACCAATTCTGGTTTCTGATAAAACTTAGGGTAAAACTACAAAGATAGTGAGCTACTAAGCTCTGGGACATGGATTTCCTTTTGATATTTTTTGTTCATATTTCCTTCTCATCATACAATTATAAAGATATAAATGAATCACATAAAACGAAATTCCACCATAACCAAAAGCTTGAAAGCTTTATTCTAATCGTTAGTGCTTCACAAACTCTAACTCTCTTTACTTGTCTTTTAAGTCCTACTGCCTCTTCATGATCATCGCTTCTTTCATTCGTCATCTCTCTTCTTCTGGGCTGTAAATTTGGGTTTCAAACTGTTCTTTGGGGCCTCTGTATCTGTGCATTTCAGTGGAACATGTTAGTATGTTATACACTGATTAGCAAAAAAAGAGATGAAGAATAAAAGAATGAACCTTTGAAAGTAGTGGATACGATAGTATTGTGAGGAGAGAGAAAAGAGTGAGGCTGCTTGAAACAACCACAACTGATGTTGCTTCTATTACTGTGAGTATGGTTTAAAGGGACATGAAAAAGATGAAAATCGAAGAACTGAAAGACAATGGTATCAGCCGATGATGCTGCTCTCTTGGAGCTGCTGGTGGACGTGGATGCTTTAGCAGCTCCACTTTCCCAATATCAATCCCTTTTCATCTCCAACTCCATAAGCAAAATGGGGTTCAATGGAAAGAGAAGATGATAGTAGAGAACAGACAAAGAGAGATGGAGAGCAGAGTTAAAAAAGGGAGAGGGAGAAGGAGGAGAAGAAGAAGAACCTGGATGCATGTGAATTTAATGGGTTAACGAACATTAGAACCAATTGAAGACTTAATTTTTGAATCGATGACTAAAATCAATCACCTAAAATAAAAGAGATTATTCCCATAATTCATCTATTATTTAATTTGATCAATTTTTTAATTAATTAAATTTCTTAACATTTTTTAATTTTAATTCAAATTAACAATTCATACATAATGAATTGAACGAACGTGCATTGTATGCATTATAATGGAGAAGTCCAAATTGAAACTAAAACTTGGTTAAAAAGGTAATTCAAAGCATATTTAGTCCATAAATATGCAAGGAAGTAATGTAGCCACAAATATCTGGGGGCAGAATCTTGCATTTATTTATACACCACTCATTTATATCACTTCCTTTCTTCCATGGATAATACCAAGTGCATGACTTCATCTGCTTCACTGACACCCAAAGCTCCAATAAAAAACGCCCCAATAATCTCCAAGTCTGCAATTCTTCACCAAAGACAAGACACGGGTTGCATCAATCTCAGTATGTATGTGTGACTTCACCCTTTTGATTTTCACTTACCATTTCATTTAGATTTTCCTCTACACATGAACACCAGTTTCCTTGTACATGTTTTTTGAGGGATTGGTCTTGGCAGAAAGAAACATCCTCGTGTTCGCCTATGGCTGCAAAAGAAGAAAACCCCATGGATGAACCACAAAATTCACGTCACGAAAGAAGGAGAAAATGTTATAAAAGTGGAAGACAAGGCTGTCGATGGACATGGAAAAAAAGGAACCATAGCAGGGGAGGTTGCTCTTATTATTGACACCAGTATTGGTTCCGAGATTCTTGCTCTCCCTCAAAAGGCCTCTCCTGCTGTAAATTGCTTTCATTTTTCTCCTTTTCTGAGTAACTTTTTAGATAGAAATTGAATTTATAAGCTTCCTTTTTCACTGCAGAGCCTGGTTCCAAGTTCAATATCCTTGGTAGTCTGCTGGGCATTTTTGGTAATTGAAGCACTTTTGCTCATTGAAGTAAATATTGGTTTAAGGAGGAGGAAGAAGAGGGTGAATTGGAGGTGACTTCCATAAGGACAATGGCACAACAGACACTTGGAGATTGGGGTGGAAATTTGGCCACTATTTCCGATGTTTTCTTGGGTTACACTTCAATGATTGCTTATAGTTCTAAATCTGGGGACATCCTTTTCCATTTGATCAATCTTCCTGAACCAGTTTCTGGCTTCCTGTTCACTGCAATTTTCACCATTCTCATCTCTGTTGGTGGAACTCAAACCACTGATCAAGCTAACCAATGGCTCACTATTTCCATGATAGGTATGATTTAGGACAAATTTTTAAACTGTTGGACTGGGTTACTTGACATCTATGTATAGACATCATGTCTGAGGATATGATCTTCTAAGGACCTTCTAAATACAACTGAACATATTCGTATAGGACACTCATACCCAAGTTTTGAGTAACATTGATAATTTTATCATTGATGATGCTAACAGTTTTATTAATGACAATTGAAGGGGTAGCAGTGGTATTTGGAGGATGGTCAGGCCTGGAGGGAAATGGTGACTGGGGGAAGGTTCCAGCTACCATCCTGTTATGATATTTTCTTTGGTTTATCATGACATTGCACCGGGTCATAAAGAAAAAATCTCAATTGTTTTAAGTTGACGCTCAAGAGTTTCCAAGCATGGGGTTATAACGTTTCTTGGTTTATGATTTCATTACTTCTTGTTGCAGTTCTTTGTGCTTATTTAGGCAGTGACCTTACTCGATTAAGGGCTTCGGTTTTGCTAGGAAGCACCGTTCCGTTGTTGGCATTGTTTGTTTGGGATGCTATTGCACTTGGCCTCCCTACACAACCTGATCAAATTGTTGATCCTGTTGAGCTGCTTACGAGGTATGTCAAACACAGATTCCTATAGAATTGTTGTGGATGATTCATAGTCAGATGAATTTAATGATTTGGGAACATCCATGGCCGGCACCCTCCTCGGCTTCTCGGAGTTCTTTAAGGAGCAGCTTAAGGACCTGTCATGGAATTCTTCTTCGGCACAGGTTGCTCTAATTTATGTTGCTACGATTCTTCATATGTCGGAAGTATCGGTATAAAACACCCTTATTCGATGCATTTCCAGACATGAATACGAGAATATGATACTCAAAATACATGAGCTTGGTACTTAATCCTGTATCAGACATTCACTCTTTTAAATCTATGCAGATAACGCCATTGACAGAGGATGAGATACAGCAGGAACCAGACAAACCCTCAGCACAGACAAATTGGTGAGGGAGAAACAAAACCAGGTTCACAGCAATGGCAATGGTGGTCACTCCAACACTTTTAGTCTCAACAACAGTTCCAGATGCCTTCTCTGCTGTGCTACAGATATTGCTGTAAGTTCAAACTGAAGCCATATATGAATTCAGTAACAGTGTTAGGATGTAGAACTTCAAGCACTAAGTTTTACGAAGCATCGATGTAATCGAAAACCCGAGGTTAGCTTCATTATCGGTGTCTGGGACATCGATGCAGGGGCGTTACTGTATGATGATGCGGTATGGAGTTCTTCTGCCAGCAATGGCTTGGGCCATGGAAACCAGAGAAGGTGAGGGCTCTAATGAGAAGGTATTAACAATGTCTAAGCCTGCAATTCTGGGAGTTGGATTATTTGCCTGTGGTTTAGTTGTGGAGCAAATTCCACATGATTTCTTGGCATTGCAGTTATCTCAATGATTGGGTTAATTTGTATACTGTAAAAATAATAAAATCTAATAGAACTAATTCCTTATTGATCACTTTCCATCATAGCAGTCTCTACTTTAGCATCCACTTGCATTTCCTTTCAATCATATTAACTCGTTTCAAGTTTCATCTAATTGAACAAAGTGGAAGAAATATTGCTACATGGACAAACAAATTTCAATCATTTATATAAAGGTGTCAATGAATCCATTAAACCATAGTGAGCTGAGCTCAAGTTCCAGAAAACACTGAAGAGAAACAATTTCTTAGGGAGCACACAATAAACTTTATTTCAGAACAGGAAGATGATCAACCAAAACATGGCACAACAAAAATAACAAAAAACGATAAATAATGACATTAAATTGTTCCCAAGCATGAGCTCTGAGTTTCGACATAATCATACAGGAACTGATTGAAGGTTGTAGACAACTAAACCGTCATTCTTCATGGAGAATCCCTAGTTCCTCACAGTTGTCACATTTTTCAAAAGCATCCGTACAACATCATGAGATATCCTTGCAGCTTCATTCTTCAAGTGATTGATCTTTGCACCTGTTTCGATCTCGAGCCGTTTCACATTTTCCCCCGAGTCTCCACTGCTCTGTATGAAAATCCACAACATGGATAAGAATCAGAATTTTAATTAAACACACATAAATCCAGAAGATTTACAGAAATTATGTAACTATGAGATAAATTAGGCAAAAGATATATTCAGTAAAAGGATCGGTTGCTCATATATAGATTTTCAGCACATTGCTGTGTCAGTGAAACAGACTAGATGACAAAATTTACGAATTCATACCTCAGCTACCTTCTTCTGAAACTCATACTCTACTCGAGCACGATATTCGGCAATCTCTTTCTCTGCCTCTTCCTTGGCCTGTCTTAGTCTAGCCATTTTTGCTGAAGGAAAAAACAGAAGTGAGTTGACATTGAATCCTCCCCTCCCCCCCCCCCCCCCAAAAAAAAAAAGAAGAAGAAGAAGCAATGACTACTACTATTAGAACAGCAACCATGAAAGTCAAATCAACTTCTCGGCTATGTTAAGTTCACATCTGAGCATTCATCAAATGGAAGTAGCCTAATAAGCAAACAAAAATTATCACGTAGCTCAAAGTCACACATGCATGCAAGAGTTTATATGATTACATAGTTTAATCAGGTCTCTTTATCAAGTGAGGTCAAGCGTGCAAAATGTGTTCTATAAATCCCGAATGTAGCCTGTAGACAAATAAATGGAATCAACATAGAACTGACATCTTATCATTCTTAAACTAAAATTGCATCAATTCAAAACAATTAAGAAAAAATGAATAAATTTCTCAAAGTGGTGAGAGAAATATAGAAGACGAGACTAGTGCTACCATTTCTTGCAGCATTGACAATGTGCTGAGCCTCTTGTTCTGCATCTAGCAGCTGTTGGATACCATTCAGGCTCCTGTTGGCTTCCATATTTGCTGAATTCTGTTACAATTACTCCAGAATGTAAGTTTTTTTTTTTTGTGTTTGGGGGGGGGGGGGAGAAAATAGTACTTTAGTAATTGTATAGCTATAAACTGCAGTCACACCATAAACAGAACAAAATCCATTGGAACAACAGAAGGCCAAGTAATAACTTCGGTTCAATAGTGGTAAATCATGATAAGAGATTAACATGCCTTTGTTAGATCAATAATTAACATGAACACACAGACATTATAATACATGTCCCATACCGCCCTTTCAACGTCCCTAGCTCAAACGTCACAAAATTCAATTGCCATTATTAAATCCATAGCAAATTTAATATTCAAAGAGACTTCTAAGAATCCAAGGACCTTATTTTCACGCCTACCAATCAATTACATGTGTATTTTAAGACAGACATATAATGCACTTTCCTCGCCTAAAAACATAAACCCGTGGACAAGTGATTCCTAAATCCTAAGTGAAGTTCAACATCCAAATCTCATACATCAAATTCTTATGACTAGCATTATTCGATCACCAAGATAATTGACAACAATACCACCAATTGGAAAGTTAACTGTTTAAATCAATATCAGTAATCTCCTTAAAAAAAAATCTCAAAACCCCATTTTCAATTAGCTCAGCATCACTAAAAAGACCAGGACCATCACAAGAATTAAAACTCAGTTTCTAAGCAAAATAGTAACTAACCCATCAAATCTAAGTCCATAAAAAGCAGAGAAAAAACACTACACATAAAAGGAATTCACTAAAATAATATAAATCTAAGTGAATTACAATTATCAGTTGACTAATTAGTCAAATCAAAGTTTTTTTTATTCATAAAAAATGGTGAGCATTTAGATTTATATGATTTTCAAATTATTTAATACAATTGAATTATATAAAAATCAGTGATTTGGAGAATTAAACAATATCAACAGTACGAGAAAAATGATTGAACACATCAGGAAAATGTAAGAAAGAAGTAAGCAGAAAGATTGAAAGAGAAGACGTACCCTAGAGAAGCGGTGTTTGTGATTTGAGATTTAACCAGAAAATTTACGGGCAAATCAATAATGGATACTTATTTAAAAGAGTTCCAAGAGAAAAAAAAAATTGAATTCGTCAAATGACCGTTCTACCCTTATTTGTCTTTATAAGAAATATAAATTAATTTTATGAAAATTATAAAATACAATATTATATTTGTAAAACTCATTTTTGAAGCTTAAAGTGATAATATATGAAAAATATTACATAAATTAAAATTTTCAATTTTTTTTATAAATCTTAAGTCAATACAATATAATATATTTTTAAAGACTTATAGTGAATACAAGATAATATTTATTTAAAGACTTTAAATCGTTCGACAATGAACACTTATATCTTTATATATTCGATGCTCAAACCCGAAACCTTAAGAGATTATATTAAGCCTCTTAACCATTGAAACAGTTTAACTCATGCAAATTTTTCATTTTTATTTTTTCATATTTATATTCTTCTAGATTAATTATGTATAATACATTTTACTTAATTCATACTTTTTAAATTTAAATTAAATTTTTAAATTTGAAACTAATTATTTGTATATTAAAACATCAATAAATAAAAGATTGTACCATTTGTAAATTGTTGGAGAGCAAATACAAGGCCTTTTAGCATGGGATACCAAGCAAGAAGTTTCATTCTACCAAAAGTTGGAAGGACTATTTTGGCATTTTATAATAAAAAGTAGAACACAGATAGGATGCTGTAATTCTTGAAGTAGATGATAATTTAATTGTTTAGATTCAATGAGGCAAAGTTTATTGCTTCCTGTTTGTTTTGTTCAATTCTGCTGTACAAGGCTGGATTTCAGCGCCTGAAACAAATGCCGTTTGCTGCATCAGTTACCTTCCTCGTCGATGCAAGCTGAAGCTGAATGCGGTAATTCAAAACGTTAGGCGATAGTAACGAAACACGGCACGTAGAAACAAGAACAGATGTATATATACAAAGGAAGCAGGGAATGAAAGAGAAGGCATAGATAAACCGGGTATAAAGAGCTAGGAAAGCCGGCCATGGCATCCATCGATGTGAAACATGATTGAGTTGCGAAATTTGAATGCAATTCCAGAAACCATAAGGACATGGAACGGTAAAAATGTAAAATAAAGATCATCACTAGAAGTCGATATGCTTCCGTGGGAGCAAAACTTCACAGTATCTTTCGGGTTTCTTGTTTTTGGTTGCAGGAAAAACCGAGTTAACCGCTACTGGTTTTGAAAAGTTTGGTAACAGAACATATAGAAACAGGTTGCTTTTGCTGATACCTTTGATTCTCGCCGAAGCTCATTAAACAGAAACACAAAGGAAAACGAGAATTGGAAACTTGAATTATATATTTGATCATTGATATTTATACATTCTATCAATTTAATCACTATTTTAATTCGATTAAAAGTAATTTATTGTTGTTATCGTCAATTTCGTCATTGCTGGCTTCCCCTTTTACTAGTTCCAAAAATCGTATATTGCCTTACCCCATATTAATAATACATATATATATTACCAAAGAATTCCTTCCTGAATGTGTACAGAACTGTGAAGCAAATTAAACAACAGCAACAGAAACACGAAAACGCAAACTTTTGAATTCCACCGGTGGCAATGGCTACCGAGTATTTGCCTCCTCCATTGGATGCTACCGCAGAGCCACCAGATCTCTTTGATGGAACAACCAGGTTTCACTCTTTCCTTCTCTCGGTGCTTTTACAGTAGTCTACCTCTGGTTTTTTTAAACAGCTATCTGTTTTTGCTTGTGTTTAATGCTACATAATAAAGTTGACCCTTTTCTTCTTCTTTCTTTTGAAGGTTGTACATGACTTATACATGCCCTTTTGCACAGCGTGTGTGGATCGCCAGGAATTATAAGGTTGTCTAACTCCCTGGTTTTTGGTTTACACTATTCTTTCATGTTTTTTTTTTCCTGATTTGTAGATTAGTCTTCCTTTTCCCCAGTTTTTCAAGTAAATAATAGTTGTGAATTTGGTTGAGTTGCAGGGTTTGCAAGACAAGTAAAACAGACCTGCATGGTACAAGCAGAAAGTTTACTTCGTAAGCAAGGTGAAATCTGTTTGGGGTTGCAAGTTCCTTGGAGAAATTAAATATTAATGTAAATAACAAAACAAATACAAAATTTATATCAAATATTAAAGTAAATTACACCCACTAATCAAAGTTAAAAATGTATAAAACAATGTCGTATTTATGCTTCTAATATATAAAATATATTGTAATATTTCTCTAAGATTTGGGGTTGGTTGAGTGGTTTTTGCACGTCTTTATCCACTTTTTGGCCTTGGTTCCCTGCTTTGAATCTTCCCAACAACATATTATTACCTCCATTTGTCTTCCTTTAATCACCACCTTATTGGAGCTATATAAATTAGATTAAAAAACCTCTCTAACCTTTTAAAGGCACATGCCATTATATAATTAGATATTAAATGTATTTAATTAAATTAAAATAATTACTAAATTGAAAATGTATAAATATTAAAGACAAAATATATAATTATATTAATTTTATCAACTTACTCATTACTCCTCCGTCAAAATAAAATAAACAATAATTTAATTATCACTCATGCGATTTACTTTTTTTTAATAAATTATCGGTTACTTGTTGAATAGGTTATACCCCTCCCTCTCCCTCTCCCTCTCCCTCTCCCTCTCCCTCTCCCTCTCCCTAAATGCTCTAAAAAGAACACTAACAGTCGATCTTTAGAGAGAGTTATTTAATGCAGAATAAATAAATATTGAATATAATTTCGTAACTGATAAAAACTATTAAACTCTTAACTCATTGATATCGTATTTAATACAAAACTAAATACCAAGTAACAAAAAATAATTCAAATTTTGTTAATTATAAAATACATATAATCTAATTTATTGATTTTTTTATCGAATTCTAACATATTTACTGAATTAATCTGATTCTTACATACTTGCTGAATTAAACGGATCACCTAGATCAATTCAGTCGATTAGTCAAGCTCAATTCTTATTTGCATTAGAATCTTCAGTAAACTTGCACAATTCACAAGCTTAGCTATACATTAACATCTTAAAAGTAGGATCTGCAGTAAAACATCATATCCAGCAAACGATGTATTAAATATACAGACTAAGAAGAGGGATTATAAACTTTTACATTCTCAAACTTCTTCATCTGTAAACTCTTTGCTCTCCCACTGTAAACTAAAATGAAAGGAAAAAAAAAACGATGGAAGATCAAATTACCTTTTTCATGGAAATGCATAACCGAATTGCAAGAGTTGAAATGTTGGGGAATCGAGATGGAAGAAATGGAAGCCGTGAGTGATCTCCACCGAGTTCGGAGAAGGAAGGGGACGGAAGGAAGCAGCGGTGAGAAGGGATGAGAGAGCGTCAAGGAAGAAGAAGAGGACGGTAGTGATGGGTACCATTTTTTTTTTCACGCAAAGTTCATGTAACTCCTTGCTTTGAAAACATTTTACATTATCTATTATACAATATATTTGAATTTATTTACGTTAAAATAAAACATAAATATTATCATAAGGTTTTATTATAATATTAAAATAAATATGGGTCGATCTTAATATAATAATTATTTTATTATGTTGAGAAGAATAATATGATTTTATGGATTATGAACAGTTCATCTCTTTTGATTTGAATAGAAAATTATAGACAAACGGACGTCAACATTGAATATTAATTACAAGAAGATGAACAAGAACTCAAAGAAAGATGATTAAAAAAAGAAATTTATTTTTTTCTCGAAATACTTATATATCGACTCTCTATGTACGATGATATTAGATTTATAATTATGATTATTTTTATAACTCATTAGATAAATAACTATAATTATCGATAGATTCAAATTTTATCAACTTTCTTATGACAATGAATATGAAAATTTAAATAATTCAAGAGATATAACGTTTAGTTCGGAAGATATAGCATGCTTATTTTGCATGCTATCATGACTAATTCAAATTCTTTATTCTGGTACATTAATTTATGTTTTTATTTGGCAGATGTAAAGAAGCAGGTCTGGCAATTAATTTAGAGAAAAGAAGGGTGGAAATGATTGAATGGGTTAGCTTGCAGAGATGAGAAAAATGATGGTGGGGGCTTATCCAGTCATCGTGTGGAAGCGACAAACTTAGTGTTGGGATAAGTTAGGAAATAATAATGGAATGGGAATTGAAATGTTTTGTCTATTAGACATGTAAACCAACAACGAATGATTGAATATATATTTATGTTCGTTCGTTTAATTTTAATCAAATAAATAAATGAATGCAAACAACTAAGTGAACGGAATTTTTTATTCGTGTTCGTTCATGTTCCTTTGTTTAAATAATAAATGAACACAAATGAATGAACGTAAACGAACTAACATAAAATTATTTGGGTTTATATTTGATAAGAGCTTTTTTTTCAAATAATTTTAGGATTTCTATTTTCTTTAATTGATTTGAATATTTTTTTATTTGAGTTTAAAAATATTAATTAGTTTAAGGTTAAAATTTATTAAGTCTTAATATTTCGAACAAGTATGGAGAACATAAATAAACGAATATAAACGAACATATTATCGAACGTAAATGAACAAACAAGCATTTTGTCTGTGTTCGTTCATTTAATTAAACGAACATAAAATCTTGTTCATGTTCATTCGTTTAATAAATAAACGAATTTCCCGCTAAACGATTCACTTAACGTTTGGTTCGTTTACGGGCTATCTCTAATCCTTATCAACTTCTATTTGTGTGATGGTAACAAAATTTCATAAAACCAACAAATTCTATATTCATCGACTTCAAAAGGTAAGATAATTGTTTTTGGACAAATGTAGTTCAATAATTGTATCGGTTTGATACATCAATTGCATTGTATTGGGGCATTAGATGATGAATTTGGATGGGCTAACCTTAGCTATTTTGTTCACCATGTTATTGTTGTTAGAGCGTATAATAAACTGAGACCACTGAAAATGCTAAGCCTAACGATGTCGAAAGGCATACATTGGCCCAACTTAACCGTCTATCCTTCTTTCTTTTAGACATAATTAATTTGTTTGTCGCACAGATTGGCTCATCTTAAATATCCCACGTGGCTTGTAATCGTTTATGCCCAATTCAAAAGCAGCAAAAGGGTCTCATGCACTGGCCACAAGAAATTCATTATTCAATCGGATAGCTCTCAAGCTATCAATTTGTTGAATGCGAGGAACTCTTATTACAGCCACCTCCCCTTGGTTCGAGATATCACTGACCTTCAAAGTCAGGAGTGGGAGGTTCAATTCAAATGAATTTCCAGGTCTGAAAATAAAGTGGCGGATCAGCTTACCAAGATTGCCCCAACTGATCATTTTAACTTGATGGAGCTCAGCTCACCCCGACAGAGATCAGAGATCACTGATCTGCTAGCTCAAGACGCAACTTCAACTGGCTATTTGACCAAATTGACACGTCTTTAACGAATATTTACCTTTTTAACATCGTTTAATATATATTTTTCAAAATGACACCCTTTCGGTTGAGCTGGCGAAAGGCGCGTCCCCGAGGACGCGCTTTACCTGTGTTTTCGCTGAGTTGGATGCCACGTGTGGAAGGCGCATCCCCGGGGATGCGCCTTTCGCCAGCTCGACTGCCACGTATTTTGTTTAATAATAAATATTTTATTTTTATTATTATTATAAATTAATAATATATTATGTAAAGTGTTTCGATTATAATGTAAAGAATTATTAAATGTATTTTGTTAATGTGTGTTAAAGGTGGAGTAAATTATCTACATTAATATGATATAACAATATATGAAAACCAGTTTTGACTTTATTGTAGTTATAGGAAAAATGTATGAAATTATAATATTACACATATGGTTATATTATTATTTTTGATTTTGATTATCGATCTATTAATTTTATCGGTTAATTATTTAAATGTTATCAATCTAGTCATCTCTTATCAATATTTAACGAAAATATTGATGCATAAGTTAATAAATTAGTATAATTACATATTTAATCTTCAAGACTTACATATTTTATGAAATTAGTCTTATTGAAAATTTAATTTAATAAATTTAATCCTCCAATCAGAACATGAAATGTGTCATCGTATACATAAATTTTTTAATAACTTTTAATTTGTTTAATTTAATATTTTTCTCTACTTAGAAGGTGGAATTATTATTATATTTTAAAAAAAATTATAACTAATAATATTAATTATTATATTAAATAAATATATTAAAAATATTTATGTATTTAAAAGTTAAAAAAAAATATTTAGGTGTACATACATTGACAAATTATATAAATGCAATAACATTAAATTATTAGAAACAAAAACATTCATTTAAATACAATATTAATTACATTGATAAATATTAACATTAATTATAAAAAATATTACCATATCGCTAAAATGTCTGGAGATATAATCAATATCCAATCGCAACAGCATTTCGTTTTCCATTATAACTGTAGACAAAACAATATAATTAGTAAAAAAAATTAATAATTCTAAATAAATATTAATTATATAAATATTATTTTAATAAAAAAATAATATTTACATAAATATATTAATATAAAATATAATAACTATTTAAAAAATACTAACATAAAAATAAATTTCTTACTACTAATAACAAATTTAAAACTCAAATAGTTGGAAAATTTGAGTTATATAAGAGAGGAGAATATGATTTTGGTGTGAAGAATGAGGGAGGGTTGAGGGGGTTTATATAAGGGAGGAGGGGTAGTTAGGGAAAACGGATGGGGGTATTTAATGGAAGGCGCGTCTCCGGGGGTACGCTTTCCACACGTGACATCCAACTCAACGAAAACACGGGTAAAGCGCGTCCTCGGGTACGCACCTTTCGTCAACTCAACCGAAAATATACAACTTCGAGAAATATATATTAAACGATGCCAAAAAGATAAATATTCGTTAAAGGCGTAATAGCCACTTCAACTTGCCATGCTGTTGTGACAACGTTCTAGCCTTCGGTTCTAGGCTTCTTTTCTATTAAAAAAAGTTCAAACATATTTAAGCTTACATCAATAAGTATGAAAGCATTAAAGACGGACCTGTAGTGAAACAAGTGGAGGAGCTTCAAAATGCAATATACGGTGTTAATAAATATGAGAGGGACGGGAGAGGACCGACCATGAATCAGAAATTGGGGGCCTCCCAACAGTCACCAAACCAATAGAAACGTGTCATTTTCAACTGTATGTGTTAGATTGGGGAGAGGACTACACCCATCACCATGTTGGCATGTTGGGCTTTCAGAGTTGAAATTTTCTTAAACGTGCCCTACTATTTTGATTTTTCATGTGTTCATCACTCTCAAGTCTCAACTCATTTGCTTGAGCTTTTTTTTAAATAAAATAAAAAATTAATTTAATTATATTTATGCTTCATTTTTTTACACAATATTAACTATCAAAAGTTCATTACTCATAAACTAAAGGATACTACACTTTTGATTATGCTTGAAGTTATATTCTCTCATATGTTAAAATAATAATAATAATACCAATTTAACTAAGACTCAATTGGTATTAATATAATTAAACTTAGATTCAATTTATTTATAGCTTTCTTATATTTATATAGATAGAAGTATCTAACTCTAGCCGTCTCTCCTTTTCTTCATCTTAATTTTCTCTCGATATTTTTATGTCGTCTTCTTCTTTATTTTGATTTTTGTTTAGCCGACGGTGGCATTAATTTTAATATTAGTTGTCGACCGCCGGAGATTATTAGTTCTCTTGTTTTTTATACTATGTTCTTTATTTTCTTTTTTCTTGAGTCCTTTTAATTTTGAAAAAGAATATCTTTCCTTGTGACATGTTTTTCTCTGTTCTTGTGGTACGTGTTTTTTATGCTCTTGTGGCACGATACTTATGGATTTTGGTACGTTTTTCGCATATCTTTGCGGTCGTTTTGGTTCTCGCACAAAAATAATCACAACGTTTATTTTCTGATTGGTTTGTTCGGTGGTCACGTATAGTCGGATCCCCTCTTTTGATAAAAGGTTGTCTGTCGATGTAATTAAAATTGTGTAGCGAAAAAGCCTACCAGATTGTTTGGTTCGCTATCCACTTTTTTATCACTTCGTAAAGCGTTTCATTCGATATAAACAAATATTTTTTATGGAGGTTATTAGGTTTTGATGTCATTCTCAATAGAATGTTTTAATTTTCTTCGTATCTTTAGATTTAAAATTTTAGTTTTGTATGCGTATTTTAGTAATTATTGTCTCAAAAAAAATTTCTACGTATTGATGCTTTGTAATTTTGATTCTTTCTAATTTTAATGAAATCTGGTTACCAATCTTAAAAAAAAAATAGACATCTGTTTATTTTAGTCCATATTCCAAGAAAATCATTTTTTTTCAAGAGCTTTCATTGTGGTCCATATTCCAAACAGCAATCAATGCTGCACTGCATGCGTAGCCCTAATAATGGCAAAAACGAAGGCACGAACAAAACCATCACACTAAAGAAAGAAAGAAACAAGCAATACCCATCTTCCTTTAACCCTTACCCTTTTTTGACTTTTTACTTGCCGTCTTCTTCACTGATGTAGTAGTAATGTCCGATTTTTAATCTGTCGGTTCATCACCTCTAACCATACATCTCTCTTCACAACCTTCTATCCGTACAATTCATGCCAACCTCCCCTGACCATACATCCGAAAATTCGTTCGGAGAAATTCAAACCTGATTTGATTTACAAACAAAAAAAAGGTGGGTTGAAAGACAAGAAAAAGTAATGTGAAATAAATATAAAAAATTCAGGAATCACACGGATCAGAACCACAAGAAATGCAATAAATTACAAGAATGAACAGAGTAACATTTAGTAATATCCTAAGAGACTATATATACCTATCAATTGAGGGGATTGGATTTTTAGTTCAGATCAATCTAGATCCAAGTCTAATTGGGTTTTAAAATTTTCAGGTCATCCAAGTTTGCTAGTCGGGTTTTTGGATGAGTCGTTTTGGGCTACTTGATCAAATCATTTGCCCCTCAAGTTGGGTAGATTTTGGGTTGTTGACATTTTACAAATCAGATTTGATTCAGTTCGGATTCAGGTTAATCAGGTTAGGTTTCAGATTCGGGTCAGAATTGAAAGATCTAGTTCATTAGCTTTGACTAACAGAACAAAAAACAAGAACACCATACGTTGCCACAGGCTTTTTTGTACACAATTTGCATGTTTTAACATACCTGAACACCTGATGCAGAATATACATACGATTGGGGCAATGATGCTGTATGCTTTCCAGGTGAAGTTCTAGCAACTAATCCAGCCATTCAGGTCCTGGCTATGTGAACAAAAATGAAGAACTTGTCTGATTTTCAAGCAGAAAAGCCAGCTTCTAATGCTCTTAATATCGCAGCACTATCAAATCTGAAGTTTCTGAAACTCTTCCCGGGACCAGTGTCCATCTAGTTAGCATCAGATGTAAACCTAGTACATTGGCACTCCACAGTCATCGAGTTACTCCCAGTAGAACAATTTTTTGCTTTCCACACACAGATCCCTTGACAAGAATAAAACAGAACTCATCAGAAAACATGGGACAAAACAGGGCCATGGGTACCTATTAATGATATTTCCAGGAAACAAAAATACAGTAATTGAGGTATTAAAGATGGAGTGAAGCACTTGAAAGCAAACCAAATTAAAATGTGCAAGGCACTTCTATTTGTTCATTTTTTTAATTGATTTTTCATTACCCCGGATACTTGGCTACCTTTTATGAAATTTGTTCAATTTCAAAACTTGCACATTTTAGAGCCAATTCAAATGATTCAGTTTTACACAAATAGGTAATGATATGGATTCCCTTAACCATCTTTTTAGGTACCATTAACTCTATTGTTCCTCCAAATGACAAGAGAAACATGCAGTGATGAAATTACAGGTAGCAATTTACATATACAATGGCTCCATGTCCACTGATGAAGTTTAATGAAAGGTATAATAAGGGATTAGCAAGCTACCCTAGCTGTTGCTTTTGAGAGTTTAATGAACAGGTATGGAAAGCTAGTTATACGGTATACACTAATATAGAATTTACATTTCTTCCTCGTCCATGGTAATCACAAGTAGAAAAAAAAAAGATCATTCTGATTATACTTCAACTCTGTAGCGATTTGTATTAGCTAGTAGAGTCTTACTACCATCTCAAGAACAAAACAATACTGAATAGATTCATCTTGTTTGAATGAACAACAAAAAAAGATTCATCTTGTTTGCAAAAGGTTAAACCACTTGCAGAAAGGACTGTATTTCCAATCTGATTAAATAGGGATCAGTTTCCAGATGTTCAAACATAGTAGAGCTAATTACCATTAAATCATTGTACATATTCTCATTTAAGAAGGCAAAGAGCATCTATGAAAAAATAAGCTTGCTTCTCGAATAGCACATGCATGGTCTTCCTCGTCTTTGTTCTTTTTCCCATGTGGGATGCTCCAACTCTTCCCTTTCCATACCTTCACTAGGATGCGCTATTAATTGCAAACACAAAGCAAAGACACTGAATTCACTTCAACATATATGATAATCCTGAATTACAAGAAATAGCTTTGATTGAATTTTCCATAAGTGCATGTAGATGAAACAACACAAAATCTATGATAGATGTAACAAGAGATGTTGCGGAAGACGGTTATCGGATAGAGCAAAATCGCAACTGATAATTTGAGAAAATAAAAATGAAGATAAAGAAGACACAAAATTTACGTGGAAACCCCCTAAATAATATAGGGTAAAAACCACGGGCAACGGTAGAAGAATTTCACTATAAGAAAATAGGAATTACAACCTCTCTCGATCTACCAAGGAGAAAACAATGATAATTTTCTCTTGATAAAAAGGAGAAAACAACTCTCAAGAAACTCTCTAAATTCTCTCTAGTATTGGAAGAAAGCTAGAATGCTTTGGGATGGTTTTAAAGCTAAATGAGATAGGGTATTTATAGTTGAAGCTTAAGGACTAATTTGTAAATACCCTAAATTACAATGACTAAAATTTGTATTTTTCCCTTTCATTTTTTCAAAAAATTCCAGCTTGAATTCGGTGCAATAAATGCACCACTTTCACCGAAAGTTTCCCAATAATTTCCACTGAAATTAGCCTACAAATGTTGACTTTTCAACAATCTCCCACTTGAAGATTTGATTGAAACAATCATATCTTCACACCATTCTTTCTACCTTGTACCTTCATGTTGCTTACGTCTCTGACAGGCCACAAGAGGATCGACACCAGGTAAATTTATCAGCATTGATTGCCTTCGTCATGAAATCTGCTATGTTGTCTTTGGTATGGATCTTCTGCATATCTACCGTTCCTTCTTCCACCTTTTCACGAATGAAATGGTATTGAACTCGTATGTGCTTTGTCCTTGAATGAAATGTTGGATTCCTTGCTAGATGCAAGGCACTTTGACTGTCACAAAACAGTGAGACATACTCTTGATTGTGCCCAAGCTCCTCCAATAGCATCTTCAACCAAATTGTTTTTTTACTGGCTTGTGTAGCTGCTACATATTCTGCTTCTGTTGTGGATGTAGCCACAATTGACTGCAATTTTGAAACCCAACTTACAGCTCCACCAATAACTTTGAACACATATCCTGTTGTAGATTTGTTTTTATCCAAATCCCCTGCATAGTCAGAATCTACATACCCATTGATTAGAAAGTTTGATCCTCCGTAACATAATGCAATATTTGAGGTCCCTTTGATGTATCTCAAGATCCTCTTTATTATATTACAATGCTCTTTGCTTGGATTCGCCATGTACCGACTAACCACTCCCACTGCTTGTGTAATGTCTGGTCTTGTGCATATCATAGCGAGCATTAAACTTCCCACTGTCGATGCATACGACACTCGAGACATATTCATCCTCTCTTCTTCACTACTAGGACTCATACTGGAGGATAATTTGAAGTTAATAGGAAGAGGGGTAGAAATTGGCTTACAATCTTGCATATTGAATCGTGACAAGATCTTCTTCAAGTAATTATTTTGTGAAAGCCAAATCTTCCTATTACTTCTGTCTCGGTGAATTTGCATCCCTAGAATCTTGTTTGTTGATCCTAAGTCCTTCATTTCAAATTCCCTAGCCAGTTGTGCCTTCAATTCTTCAATATAATCTTTGTTGGGTCCTGCAACCAACATGTCATCCACATACAACAACAATATAACAAAATGATTATCACCAGACCTCTTGAAATAAGCACAAGGGTCAGCATTAAGTTTGTTGTATACAAGGCACATAATGAAGGAATCAAATCTCTTATACCAACACCTCGACGCCTGCTTTAGACCGTACATAGATTTGTTCAACCTGCAAACCAAGTTCTTCTTTTCTTTTTTCTTCAAAACCTTCAGGCTGGAGCATATAAATTTCTTCTTCAAGATTTCCATGAAGAAAAGCTGTTTTAACATCTAGCTGCTCTAGATGTAAGTCCAATATAGCACACATTGCCAAAACTACTTGAACTGTTGTTAGTCGAACCACATGAGAAATATTTCGTTAAAATCAATACCTTCTTTTTGAGCATATCCTTTGACCACCAGTCTTGCATGATACCTCTCAACTTGATGGTCACCATTTTGCTTGATTTTGAAGACCCATTTGTTATCAATTGACTTCCTTCCTTGTGGTAGTGGCACAAGGTCCCATATATTATTTTTATTAAGGGCTTCAATTTCTTCTTGCATCGCCATCATCCACAGTTAAGCAACTGAGCTGTTTATTGCCTCATGGTATGTTGATGGCTCACCGTCCTCTGTTAAAAGGCAGTATGCAATATTACCTTCTATAACATAATCTGAGTGCCAATTGGGACGTCTTCTCACACGATCTGATTGACGAGTTGTTGGAGCTTCAGAACTCTCTGGTTCTTGTTCATCATGTGCTGGTTCTACTTCAGAAGAATCTCATTGTTCAAACTCATTTTCCACATGTATCTGTGTAGTCTTTGACTTTTTAGCACTAACATCTTCTTCTTTTCTTTGTAGCTTATCTTCTACAAAGATAGCATCCCTGCTAATGATCACTTTGCGGGCAGTGGGATCTCACAAGCGATACCCCTTTACACCATCAGCATACCCCAAGAATTTGCATTTCCTGGATTTTGGATCCAACTTTGAGATTTCTTGTGAGTTGTACATCACGTACACAATACTTCCAAATACATGGAGTTTTGAATAATCAGCTAGTTTACCAGTCCACATCTCCATTGGCGTCTTCAGCTCTATTGCAGTTGATGAAGCTCGATTCACCAAATAACAGGCGGTATTGACTGCTTCTGCCCATAATGATTTTTCTAGGCCTGCATCCCTCAACATTGCTCTTGTTATTTCTAACAAGGTTCTGTTCATCCGCTCTGCCACTCCATTTTGTTGAGGAGTGTTCGCCACTGTGAACTGTCTTTTGATGCATTCTTTCATGCAAAAGTCATCAAATTCTTCGCTTGTGTATTCTCCTCCATTATCTGTTCTGAAACACATGATCTTATTTCCATAATCAAGTTCCACCCGCGCTTTGAAGTTTTTGAAAGTTGAAAAACACATCTGACTTCTTCTCAATAGGGTACACCCAGCATCTCCTAGAGTAGTCATCAATGAATGAGACAAAGTATTTTGCTTCGCCTAGGGATGTAACCGATGCTTGCCATACGTCAGAGTGAACCAATTCTAGAACACTTTTGCCTCTAGAATTTGACGTGTTGAATTTCAACCGGTGCTGCTTACTTGTTATACAATGCTCACATAAAGTAAGTGATACATTCGTTAAGCCTGGAAGTAGTTTTTTCTCCGCAATGGCTTTCATTCCTTGTTCTGACATGTGTCCAAGTTTCTGATGCCATAGCATTGCAGAATCTGAACTACATGAGGCAACAAAGGCTTCTACTTCTAGCAAAGTCTCTCCCTTCAGAATGTACAAGTTTGTTGCTATCTTTTCGCCTTTCAGCACCACAAACGCTCCACAAAACACCTTCATGATTCCTTTCTGTGTTTCAATCTTGCTTGCATTATTATCCAACAATCCGTAGGATAATAAATTTTTCTTCAGGCCTTTCACGTGTCACACATCTCGAACAAATTTAATTGTTCAATCATACATCTTCAATTTGATGGTTCTTACGCCAATGATCTCTAAGGCATGATCATTGCAACTATACACAGATCCTCCTGAGACAGGTTCATAATGATAGAACCATTCTCTTCTTGAGGTCATGTGATATGTTGCTCCCGAATCAATGAGTCATATATCTGCAAATCTTTTTCTGCCTTCCACGGTGGTTAACGCTTCACAACATAGAGCATCTCCATCATCTGAAGTGTTTGCGGTATTGCCTTGTGGGTTGGAGTTTTTATTTAGACTCCAATAATCCTTCTTCAAGTGACCCTTCTTTCTACAGTTGTAACACTTTAAATTCTTCTTGTTCCTCGACTTCGATCTACCATGTTTGTGACTGCTGCTTTGGTCACGTTCTATTGATCTCCCTCTCATCGTTGTCATCGTTGTCAATGCTTCTTCTTGTTGCAGATTTACTTGTCTGTCTTCCTTGTTCTTGCGCCAATTTTTTTTCTTGTAGAACATCAGTTGCAAAGTCATCGAAGACTAGACTGGTGACATTACTGTTTGTCAAGTTGATGATGAGTTGATCATACGAATCCGATAGACTTTGAAGTAGAAGTTCAGCACGTTCTTGTTCCCCTATTTTACAGCTTAAGGATGTAAGCTGAGAAAATAAAGTGTTCAGTGTATTTAAGTGCTCCGTCATTGAAGTAGATTCTGGCATACGGAGAGTGTACAATTTTCTCTTAAGGAAAATTTTATTGTGCAGCGATGTGGCCTCGTACAATTTGGTGAGATGATCCCATATCTCCTTAGTTGTCTTCTTCTCCTTGATGCTTGACAATACTTCATCTGCTAATGCTAGATGAAAGTTTTCCATAACATTCTCATCAATTTTGATCCATTTGTTGTCATCTGTGAAATCCACCGGTCTTTCACTGATAGCTGCTAGACAACCTTCTTTCCTCAGGATGGTCTTCATCTTTAATTTTCACAATGAGAAATTTCTCTCATTGAATTTTTCAATATCAAATTTCGTTGTCATAGCTTCTTTTACGGATAGCTCCCACTATTTCACTATCGTGAATAATTCTCTGGAACCTTTAAAAAATGGGTAATAACTTCTTATTTTCATATGTTGGAGGATCTATCTTTTGATGGCAACCACAAAGACAATAAGCAGATATTGCACACTCTAATCTGGCTCTAATACCAATTGTTGCGGAAGACGGCTATCGGATAGAGCAAAATCGCAACTGATAATTTGAGAAAATAAAAATGAAGATAAAGAAGACACAAAATTTACGTGGAAAACCCCTAAATAATATAGGGTAAAAACCACGGGAAACGGTAGAAGAATTTCACTATGAGAAAATAGGAATTACAACCTCTCTCGATCTACCAAGGAGAAAACAATGATAATTCTCTCTTAATAAAAAGGAGAAAACAACTCTAAAGAAACTCTCTAAATTCTCTCTAGTATTAGAAAAAAGCTAGAATGTTTTGAGATGGTTTTGAAGCTAAATGAGCTAGGGTATTTATAGTTGAAGCTTAAGGACTAATTTGTAAATACCCTAAATTACAATGACTAAAATTTGTATTTTCCCTTTCATTTTTTCAACAAATTCCAGCTTGAATTCGATGCAATAAATGCACCACTTTCACCGAAAGTTTCCCAATAATTTCCACCGAAATTAGCCTACAAATGTTGACTTTTCAACAAGAGAGTATGAATATGGAGGAAGAGAATGAAGACATAGGATAAAAAAGTAGGTGCAAAATTTACATTCTCAAGCATGAATCCATGAGTGTATACAGTGCATTAACAGAGCACAAAAGTACCGTGAAGTTACCTTGTCAATTTGGTAAAAACAGTGACATGACATGACATTGTCTCAAAAATGAAGAAGACGAAAAGACTTCCTGTTTTAACTAGCATAAGAAAGAGACACACCCGTTCATATGTTTCATCCAAAATAATTGCACCCGTTACAGGAACTCGAACCTTGTAATCAGTGAAATCCTTAAATAAATCATATGTATGTGCAACATGAGGCCTTAATGTTGGTGCACATGGCACCGAAATGTGTTGAAGAAAAAAAATAATTAATGAAGTCAAGAATTATAGGCACCGAATGGTAGGTGCAAAATTTGTTGATTTTTCAACAGTGGTAGAACCTCAATTTTAACCATTGTAATTTAAGGTATTTACAAATTAGTCCTTAAAGCTTCAACTATAAATACCCTAGCTCATTTAGCTTCAAAACCATCCCAAAACATTCTAGCTTTCTTCTAATACTAGAGAGATTAGAGAGTTTCTTGAGAGTTATTTTCTCCTTTTTATCAAGAGAGAATTATCATTGTTTTCTTCTTGGTAGATCGAGATAAGTTGTGATTCCTATTTTCTTATAGTGAAATTCTTATACCGTTGCCGTGGTTTTTACCCTATATTATTTAGGGGTTTTTCACGTAAATTTTGTGTCTCTTTTATCTTCATTTTTATTTTCTCAAATTATCAGTTGCGATTTTGCTCTATCTGATAGCCGTCTTCCACAACAATTGGTATCCGAGCCAGATTTGAGTGTGTAATATCTGCTTATTGTCTTTGTGGTTGCCACCAAAAGATGGATCCTCCAACATAAAAAAGTAAGAAGTTATTACCCATTCTTTGAAGGTTCCAGAGAACTATTCACGATAGTGAAATAGTGGGAGTTATCTGTAAAAGAAGCTATGGCAACGAAATTTGATATTGAAAAATTCAATGGGAGAAATTTCTCATTATGGAAATTGAAGATGAAGGTCATCATGAGGAAAGACGGTTGTCTAGCAGCTATCAGTGAAAGGCCGGTGGATTTCACATATGACAACAAATGGATCGAAATGGACAAGAATACTATGACAAACTTTCATCTTGCATTAGCAGATGAAGTATTGTCAAGCATCGAGGAGAAAAAGACAGCTAAGGAGATATATGATCATCTCACCAAACTGTACGATGCCACATCGATGCACAATAAAATTTTCCTTAAGAGAAAATTGTACACTCTCTGTATGCCAGAATCTACTTCAGTGACAGAGCACTTAAATACACTGAACACTTTATTTTCTCATCTTACATCTTTAAGCTGTAAAATATGAGAACAAAAACGTGCTGAACTTCTACTTCAAAGTCTACCGGATTTGTATGATCAACTCATCATCAACTTGACAAACATTAATGTCACCAGTCTAGTCTTCGATGACGTTGCAGCTACTGTTCTACAAGAAGAAAATCGGCGCAAGAAAAAAGAAGGCAGACAAGTAAATCTGCAACAAGCAGAAGCGTTAACAACGATGGCAACGATGAGAATGAGATCAACAGAACATGGCCAAAGCAGCAGTCACAAACATGATAGATCGAAGTCGAGAAGAAAGAAGAATTTAAAGTGCTACAACTGTGGAAAGAAGTGTCAATTGAAGAAGGATTGTTGGAGTCTAAATAAAAACTCCAATCCACAAGGCAATACCGCAAACACTTCAGATGATGGAGATGCTCTATGCTGTGAAGCGTCAACCATCGTGGAAGGCAGAAAAAGATTTACAGATATATGACTCATTGATTCAGGAGCAACATATCACATAACCTCAAGAAGAGAATGGTTCCATCATTATGAACATGTCTCAGGAAGATCTATGTATAGTTGCAATGATCATGCCTTAGAGATCATTGGCGTGGGAACCATCAAATTGAAGATGTACGATGGAACAATTAAAGTTGTTCGAGATGTGCGGCACGTGAAAGGCTTGAAGAAAAATTTATTATCCTATGGATTGTTTGATAATAATGCAAGCAATATTGAAACACGGAAAGGAATCATGAAGGTGTTCCATGGAGCGTTTATGGTGATGAAAGGCGAAAAGATAACTGCAAATTTGTACATGCTTAAGGGAGAAACTTTGCTAGAAGTAGAAGACTCTGTTGTCTCATGTAGTTCAGATTCTTTAATGCTATGGCATCAAAAATTTGGACACATTTCAATGAAAGTCCTTGTGGAGCAAAAGCTACTTCCAGGCTTAACTAAGGTATCACTTCCTTTGTGTGAGTATTGCATAACAAGTAAGCAGCACCGGTTTAAATTCAACACATCAAATTCCAAAGGAAAAGTGTTCTAGAATTGGTTCACTCTGACGTATGGCAAGCACCAGTTACATCCCTAGGTGAAGCAAAGTACTTTGTCTCATTTATTGATGACTACTCCAGGAGATGTTGGGTGTACCCCATTAAGAAGAAGTCAGATGTGTTTTCAACTTTCAAAAACTTCAAAGCGCGGGTGGAACTTGATTCTGGAAATAAGATCAAGTGTTTCAGAACAGATAATGGAGGAGAATACACAAGCGAAGAATTTGATGACTTTTGCAGGAAAGAAGGCATCAAAAGATAGTTTACAGTGGCGAACACTCCTCAACAAAATGGAGTGGCAGAGTGGATGAGCAGAACCTTGTTAGAAAGAACAAGAGCAATGTTGAGGGATGCAGGCCTAGAAAAATCATTCTGGGCAGAAGCAGTCAATACTGCCTGTTATTTGGTGAATCGAGCTCTATCAACTGCAATAGAGCTGAAGACACCAATGGAGATGTGGACTGGTAAACCAACTGATTATTCAAACCTCCATGTATTTGGAAGTGTTGTGTACGTGATGTACAACTCCCAAGAAATTTCAAAGTTGGATCCAAAATCCATGAAATGCAAATTCTTGGGGTATGTTGATGGTGTAAAGGGGTATCGCTTGTGGGATCCCACTGCCCGTAAAGTGATCATCAGCAGAGATGTTATCTTTGTAGAAGATAAACTAAAACGAAAAGAAGACGATGATAGCACTGAAAAGTCAGAGACTACGCAGATACATGTAGAAAAGGAGGTTAAACAAGGAGATTCTTTTGAAGTAGAACCAGCACATGATGAACAAGAACTAGAGAGTTCTGAAGCTCCAACAACTCGTCAATCAGATCGTGTGAGAAGACGTCCCAATTGTCACTCAGATTATGTTAGAGAATATAATATTGCATACTGCCTTTTAACAGAGGACGGTGAGCCATCAACATACCAGGAGGCAATAAACAACTCAGATGCTTCATTATGGATGATGGCGATGCAAGAAGAAATTGAAGCCCTTCATAAAAATAATACATGGGACTTTGTGCCACTACCACAAGGAAGGAAGCTAATTGGTAACAAATGGGTCTTTAAAATCAAGCGAAATGGTGACGATCAAGTTAAGAGGTATCGTGAAAGGCTGGTGGTCAAGGGATATGCTAAAAAAGAAGGTATTGATTTCAATGAAATCTTTTCTCATGTGGTTTGACTAACAACATTTCGAGCAGTTTTGGCAATGTGTGCTACATTGAACTTACATCTAGAGCAGTTAGATGTTAAAACAGCTTTTCTTCATGGAAATCTTGAAGAAGAGATTTATATGCTCCAGTTTGAAGGTTTTGAAGAATTCGAAAAGAAGAACTTGGTTTGCAGGTTGAACAAATCTCTATACGGTCTAAAGTAGGCGCCGAGGTGTTGGTATAAGATATTTGATTCCTTTATTATGTGCCTTGGATACAACAGACTTAATGCATACCCTTGTGCTTATTTCAAGAGGTCTGGTGATAACGATTTTGTTATATTGTTGTTGTATGTGGATGACATGTTGGTTGCAGGACCCAAAAAAAGATCATATTGACGAATTGAAGGCACAACTGGCTAGGGAATTTGAAATGAAGGACTTGGGATCAGTAAACAAGATTCTATGGATGCAAATTCACCGAGACAGACGTAATAGGAAGATTTGGCTTTCACAAAAGAATTACTTGAAGAAGATCTTATCACGATTCAACATGCAAGATTGTAAGCCAATTTTTACCCCTCTTCCTATTAACTTCAAATTATCCTCAAGTATGAGTCCTAGCAATGAAGAAGAGAGGATGAAGATGTCTCGAGTACCGTATACATCAGCAGTGGGAAGTTTAATGTTCGCTATGATATGCACAAGACCAGACATTGCACAAGCAGTGGGAGTGGTTAGTCGGTACATGGCGAATCCAGGCATAGAGCATTGGAATACAGTAAAGAGGATCCTGAAATACATCAAAGGGACCTCAAATATTGCATTATGTTACGGAGGATCAAACTTACTAATCAATGGGTATGTAGATTCTGAATATGCAGGGGATTTGGATAAAAGCAAATCTATAATAGGATATGTGTTCAAAGTTGTTGGTGGAGGTGTAAGTTGGGTTTCAAAATTACAGTCAGTTGTGGCTACATCCACAACAGAGGAAGAATATGTAGCAGCTACACAAGAGCAATTTGGTTGAAGATGCTATTGGAGGAGCTTGGGCACAATCAAGAGTATGTCTCTCTGTTTTGTGACAGTCAAAGCGCCTTGCATTTAGCAAGGAATCCAGCATTTCATTCAAGGACAAAGCACATACGAGTTCAGTACCATTTCATTCATGAAAAGGTGGAAGAAGGGACGGTAGATATACAGAATATCCACACCAAAGACAACATAGCAGATTTCATGATGAAAGCGATCAACGCTGATAAATTTACTTGTTGTCGATCCTCATGTGGTATGTCAGAAACGTAAGCAACATGATGGTACAAGGTAGAAAGAATGATGTGAAGATATGATTGTTCCAATCAAATCTTCAAGTGGGAGATTGTTGGTGCACATGGCACCGAAAGGTGTTGAAGAAAAAAAATAATGAATGAAGTCAAGAATTGTAGGCACCGAATGGTAGGTGCAGAATTTGTTGATTTTTCAACAATGGTAGAACCTCAATTTTAGCCATTATAATTTAGGGTATTTACAAATTAGTCCTTAAAGCTTCAATTATAAATACCCTAGCTCATTTAGCTTCAAAATCATCCCAAAGCATTCTAGCTTTCTTCTAATACTAGAGAGATTAGAGAGTTTCTTGAGAGTTATTTTCTTCTTTTTATCAAGAGAGAATTATCATTGTTTTCTCCTTGGTAGATCGAGAGAAGTTGTAATTCCTATTTTCTCATAGTAAAATTCTTCTACTATTGCCCGTGGTTTTTACCCTATATAATTTAGGGGTTTTCCACATAAATTTTGTCTCTTTTATCTTCATTTTTATTTTCTCAAATTATCAGTTGTGATTTTGCTCTATCCGATAGCCGTCTTCCGCAACACTTAATACGTCACAGATGTTAAACACTGGAACACGTTAAGGAAATAAAGAAACAAGAAAATGTATCATACTCATAACATTAAGTAATAGAGAGTACAGAAAATGCCATATAGATGTCCTCTAGAAGTAAACAAAAAATGTCAAGTCAAAAAGTAGCTTAAATTATGTTGCACTTGATAGTCTAGACTATAAAGTCTAACCTTCAGTTTGAGAGTAAAAACAAGATGGAACCAGAAGACATCTTTTTTAGGGACATAAGATGTCACATGTTCAAGGTCCAACTTCCTCTTTGAGAAAAAGGTTTTCCCCTTTTCGCAATGGTACAGGTTCTATGAAATGGAAGCCTAAAGTACTATTTATTTACAACAACAAAGTAAAATTTAGCATTTAAGCAAAAAAGCTACAAGGTCTCACATAAGGAAACGCGCGCGCGCGCACGATCTAAAAAATCAAGCAGGGTAAAATTTAAGTAACCATGATTGATAGATAAATGGCAGAAAGAACAGGGATTCTAGCAAAAAAACAAAGAATCAGGACCAAGGGAAATAATTACAGGCAAAAATAGGACAAAATCCCGGTCCTTCACCTTTAAGCTCAATGCGTAAGTCATTCTGCTTACTTACTATTGACATGTTTAATCATTAAGGATAGGTGTGAGTTGGTATCGGATAAGGTTGTTCTTGTTTTATTTGGTTGTTTGAGGGGAGTTTCTGAGAGGTTTTCTGGTTTTTCTTAATTTGGTGTCTGTATCTAAATTGGTGCGTTCTTTCTTCTAAGATGTATTGGTTTGATTATTTAATAAATCATGATATACTCTTTTCCTCCTTCCAATTTTCGATGACATACGGTCTAGTATGTTGATGATTATGAAGGAGATGTTTAACGAGGCCTCCAATTATTATAAAAAAATTAATCACCTTAGAAATATGCCCACAAAAAAATGTAATTGCATAACTGGTTTCAATTTGACAAGTAACTAGAGCCTGGATGTTTACATAAACCAAGCCGTGATAAAAGATAGATAACGCCAAACTTTATTATTATTATTATTATTATTTTGGGGGGAGAGGGAATACTTTCAAGTAAAAAGCTATGATAATAGTAGATGAAAAGTTTATTGAACAATTACAAATGAAAAATATCATAATGGAGTCGAAATTAAGTCTGAATATTTGATAAATCAGCCAGCAGTCTGGTGATAGCAACATATCGCTGCAATAAAGATGCATCAAATATAGGATACATAAAGAGGTGAACTCTTTCAGATTGAATGACTTCAGCGATGGATTTTTTTTTTCTGCTGTATTGTCCTCGTAAAACCAATGTGCGTACTCCACAAGGAAGAAAATTCTCTCAAATGACTGCTGGTCCTCTTTCGGCACATTTAAAACAAACCGACTGCACAACAATTATTAAAAGTAAGCTTTATGTAGAACTAGAGGGGGCAAAAAGGGCAGATACAAGGCAACTGTTTACAAAAGAGAGGGAGAACGCTTAGGTCATCAAAGGGCAATTATTGCCATGACAAGTTGACAACACATTTGAGGGGAAAATTAAAGGAAAAGTATCGAACAAAAGACCATCATCCAGTAATTGGATCAAATCGGTGAACTTTTATAAATTAACTTCCTAGCAACACAACCAATTTCCTCATCGCATTTTGCTGGTTTGATGAGAAAAGCCAACATGAGCAGCTGACACTTGTCAAAGAATCATTAGGGAAAAATTTTCAATTGTGAGATACTTGTGGCTGATACCTCATAAACATGATCTCAAGTCTAAAGATTCTTGAGCTTAAACAATACACTTTCTTGATTAATCAATCCATAATATAGATCCAGTATCTACAACTAATACAACAAAGAGTTGAACTTCCATACTCTATACTTAACTAGAAGGTGACAAAGCCTTTAGGCAAACCAGTCGCCACTAAGTTTCAATCTACGTATTAATCCATGCATCAGACCGTTAATATCACCAGTCACTCCCAGTCTTCAGGAAAAAAAATTCAATATCGATGATGAATCTAGCGACAATTAAAGCAGTTTTTTTTTAAAAAAAAAATCATGAATCATCACAACTGCAAGATAGGTGGCCACCAATACGTCATCATCTAAACAAAACTAGGGTCTAAACGCTACACTTCAACTGATCAATCCAAAATTAAAAAAAATATATATACACATGTTCAATAGATATTTCAAATAATAATGCCCTCCTTATCTCCATACCTTCCCACTACAAAAATGTGCAATATATAGCTAAACTGAATATTTGCATAAAAACTTATGCGCCTCCGCTAATCACACTAAAAAGTAAAAATCTTAAGCGAAACACACATCGCTTTCAATCGAGCAATATCAAATATCTTGAGTTAATAAGTTAACGCTCCTTTTTTCACCTAACAATCACACTACTTACTTCTTCTATGCCAAATCCTAAAACAATACACACGGAGACAAATTTAAAAGCCAAATGCTCGTGAAACAAGCAGAAAAGAGAGTGTAACCTGCAAAGATCATCGAGGAGCTCTTGAGGAGGAAGACCGTTCTTCAATGGCGGACTCGAGGATCGATGGAGGCCAGGCATAACTTTTTTTTTCTAGTGAAAATCAAACAAATAAAACTAAAATCGTAACAGCAACTATTTTTTACAGAATATTATGAAGAATCAACATTTTTTCCAAATTTTATTGTTTTTATTATATCGGAAAATCGAGATGGAAAGAGAAAATGAAGAGAGGTCCCGCCGGCCGGACCCGAAAACAGAACCGTTTCTCCGCCTCTCAAGATATGAGTTCAATTTTTTGTTGACTCTGGGCTTTATATATTCCGGTTTTATGAAGTTTGGGCTTTTATATAGCCCAAATTTGAGATTAATTACGATTATTTTAGGAGAAAATAAAGGTTGAAAAGGAATTTTTTTTAAAGATTTAAATTCGAATAATTGTACAGTAGAGTGTATTATAAAAATAATAAAATTAAATAAATAATATTATGTAAGTTACAATCATTCTAAACTATTAAATAATTCAAATAAAATGAAAAAATATTTTTAAATTATTTAAATTAGAATTTAAGTATAACATTAAATTTTCAACTCACTTTCTAATTATATTAGAATAGAAACAAAAAATATAAAAATAAATAAAAATAGGTATTATTTACTTAATAAAAAGTATATACAATACTCCTCAAATTCTAATTATATTAGATATTAAAATAGTAATAATAAAATAATTAGAATCATATAGTATGCGTAAATTCTAATAAATAGAATTCTATTTCTACTCGTTATGGTCACGATTAGATTATTAAACAGTACGCTCCGAGCTCCCAATCCGAACGTCCTGCTTTCGCTGTACTTGAAAAAACCTTGTCCTTTGACTCTCACAAAAAAAAAAAAGCTCTGCTTTGTCTGCACCAAATCTCCGTCGAGAGTAAATCCTCTACCCTTTTTTCTTTTAATCAAGATCTGTTGTTTCTTTCTCTGCATCAGATTTCTTTGATGGCATCTGTCTTCAAAGTTCAAACTACTTATTGCTCTCTTTTAAATTGGCCACATATTCATGTGATCTTATAGTTTCATTGACTTGGATTCATATAGAGTTTAAAGCTTTTAAATCTAGTTTTATTTAAATACCCCTTTCTTTCAGTGTTCTGCATCTGTTTATTTTTTGGTTTTTGAGATTGAAAGCCATGATCCCATGGATTTGAATTGATGGAGAATTTCAAATTGCACTCTGGATAAATAAGATTATAAGTGTGTGCGTGTGTACTATAGGTTTAGAGCGGAATTAGTTTGTCTATTATGAAAGGGAGCGATTTAGTTCTTGCACATTTAGTATTGAAGCAAATGGCTAATAAGGTTGAATGCTAAAAAGATGCTGACTTGAGTTTTATAGTAACGAGACTTTTTTTTTTGGATCTAAAATTCAACACTTTAAAAACTGACATTTTGATCATATTTTGAGCAGAATTATTGGTTAAAAAAATGCGAAAGCGGCCTCAAAGTTCATCAATTTTACCTGATACATCAGCCAATAAATCAAGTGATACCCCTGAAACTGATGAAGAAGCCAAATCGAGTCGCTCTATTCAGATAAAAACTCCAAGGAGGTCAGGATTCACGTTGCTGACATTGCTTGGGGTCATTGTATATGCTTCTTGGGCTGTTTACCAATACCAGTATGGGAGTTTGCCTGTGCCGCTTACTGCTGAGCAAGCAGGCAAAAGGGGCTTCTCAGAGGTTCAGGCAATGAAGCATGTTCAGGAACTGACTAAATTAGGCCCACATCCTATTGGTTCTGATGCTATTGAACTTGCTCTGCAGGTAGGGTCAACTACATCGCTTCATTAGCTTTTGACCTAATGGTAATAGGATTGTTCTCTTCAATCTTGACTATATTCTATTCTCTTTGCTGTTGTTGGATTCTTTGCTATTGTTACGCAAATAGGGAAGGATCTTACTTTTGGTTTTGATCATAACATTTCTTTTGTTTGAATAAAAATACAGCTTAGGTCCTTTTTTATGAATATTGTGATGCTGACAAAAAATAAACAACAATTAGATAACATTATCTTGTTGTTGCTATATTGTGCCTTAATAATGTTCTTACTTTGCATTTTTAGAGGGATTAACTTGCAGTTTTATGTTTTGGTTTATCCCTTATTTTATAATTTAAGCTGCACGGCTTTTTTCAGTCTGCAGTTAGGTTAAACATCTTTATTGATCTATATATTAAATTACAATGTCTGTTCTAGTAGTGATTCATTTCTTGTGCTATCATGTTGGAGATTTAACTTAATATGCTTTCAAAAACAGTATGTTTTGGCAGCGTCGGAAAATATTAAAAAAACAGCTCACTGGGAGGTTGATGTTGAAGTGGACTTTTTCCATGTTAATATTGGTGCAACTCGTCTCGGCAGTGGCATGTTTATGGACAGAACGATTGTCTATTCTGATCTGAATCACATTGTGTTGAGAATCTTGCCGAAATATGCACCTGAAGCAGGAGAAAATGCTATTTTGGTTTCTTCCCACATTGATACAGTTTTCTCAACGTATGGTTTCATCCTTCTCTGTTACTCTACTTCATGTTTGTTCAAATAAGTTTTGTTTTTGACCAAAATGTGCAAAATACTTACCCCATGGCATGTTGATGCTGCTTTAATTTGAATTCAGCTGTCTAGTGGTCTTAATAGTAAGTTCTTCTGATGTCCGTATCGTGTTTTATATGCTGCTAATGCACCACCATAACGTTCAGGTGATAAGAAGATTTTTTGGTTGGATACATTGTAATATCCAGTAAATGATATCATTTACATTTCAAATAAGTCAAGGAATAGAAAGACATCTAACTAATTGGTTTCCAAGAAAATACTAACTTTTTCTTTATGTTGACTAAAAAATTCAAAACGAGTAGTTTTGTTATCTGGTTTAAAAGATTGCAATCGTGAAAAATGCAATGTGACACCTTTCAGCTCATTTCTTAAAAATTTCAACAAGCTATGACTGCATTCTTTTCATGTGGGAACATCAGACATTCATAACATTGCCACTTTTTGTGTGACATCTTTGCCTATCTTTTATCAGCTTTGGTTATTCTGATGATTTTGCTCTTTGTAAAACATTTTTGTGCTACTTCAGGGAAGGGGCTGGTGATTGTAGCTCATGTGTTGCTGTTATGTTGGAACTTGCTCGGGGGATTTCTCAGTGGGCTCATGGATTTAAGAATGCTGTGATATTTTTGTTTAACACTGGAGAGGAGGAGGGTCTAAGTGGTGCTCATAGCTTTATAACACAGGTGAGAAGTGTTTTGAGGGCATTCATTTGAAACCTGAACTGTATTATTTTCTTCAAGATTAGCTTCTTGAAGGTGAATGGTTTTGTTTGGGTGGATGTAGTTGTTTATGTTTTCCTTCGTTCTTGATGATGGTTCTTTTATGTGTCTTATCAATTTTCTCTACAACACATATCTCAGGCATGAGAAATATGTCCAACGTGTTTAGGCACGAGGAATGTGCTTGGATTAACGTGCATGAATTTGGTTTATTTGTTATTGTCTAATGGTTTATGAAACAAGTTTCCAGTAGTGAAGTCGGATAGTTGCATAAATTCTAGTTAAGCATGTAAGTGAAAGATATATATTTGCTTCATGGAGTCAAGATCTAGTAGTATCACTGAGAAATGATGTAAGCAACTAAATTAGTGAAGAAGTTCAACCAGGGACAAGATTAGTGAAGGCATACATAGATCTGAAAATCTTAAAAGAGAAGTAAAGGTATTCATTTAGAGTGCTGCAAGTTCTGTTATTTACATTTAATGTTTTTGAATTTGCTGAAGAGCATAGATGATAAACTGTCTATATTGCTTTAGTAGATAGCTAGCATAACTCAAGTTCTGAAACATTCAATCTCAGATACTTTTTCATCTATGTATTCTTCTAAATTGTGGTTTTTTAAGTATTAGACACATGAATGAGGGTTTATTCTTATGCAGTATGTATTAGACACATGAATGAGTGTTTATTCTTACACGGTATTATTGCTCAATAGGTATGTATAGGCTATTATGCAGATCAAGCGCAGAAAGCAACAGAGTAACAGAATTTTTTAGTTAAGGGATTAACATTTATTTTGCTATCGCAGCATCCTTGGAGTTCTACCATTCGTATGGCTATTGATTTGGAAGCCATGGGTATTGGAGGAAAGTCTTCCATTTTCCAGGTATATATATCTCTGGAAAAAGTTTTGGTCCCCTCATTCACTTGTTGAAAGGGATTGGTAAATCCACCTAATCAGAAAAATGCTTACCTTGTTTGCTTATCATTAACTATATTTCCTGTTAACTTGTGTTCTGTTCTTTACTTGATAGGCTGGTCCTCATCCATTGGCTATTGAGACGTTTGCTTCAGTTGCAAAATACCCATCTGGTAATATCATATGGCAGGTGTGTTCTTCTCCCTTTGGGTGTGTGTACACGTGTTCAAATGTGCGTGCATATTTTTATATGCTTTTTATTTCACATCATGTTTTTCTTTGGTAGTTAAATTTGCTAAAGTTTGAAGGAAACCTGCAAATCTAAATGATACAATGTTGTAGGACCTTTATGCTTCTGGAATCATAAAATCTGCAACAGATTTCCAAGTGTACAGAGAGGTTGCTGGTCTTTCGGGGCTTGACTTTGCGTACACAGACCATGGTGCAGTATATCACACCAAGGTCTTCTTTCTGTTTCTTTGCTTCTTTGTTACTATTTGATTGGAAGTTTACATTTTGATATTAAATTATAGATGACGTGCAATCTATTATTACTCTGATCAAAGGAGTGAGTTACTAGGTCTTCTTTTCCGAGATAAGACAAGCTGCTTTATTTACATGCTAACCATGACACGTACATATCCACAATTTGATAGCTTAGCTGATACGGAAGGATAGAATCCCAATGTTTGTTTCTGGTTCTTGTCGTAGATCGTGTAGACAAGTGGAAGGGTTGCATGTTTCCATTGCTTTTTTTTTCAATTTTGAGGTTCCATTTGAATGTCAATAGTACATTCTTGGTCTTGGAAGCAATTCGTAGTCTATGAGACAATAGATGAAATCCTGGTGTAACTAAGTTATTAATTTAAAAGGGGGAAAACTGAATCATTTGAATCCTTTTTAAGTACTAATTAAGGAAAAAAAAGATATGGAGTAAAAATTGTCGACTCTAATTCTTTCTTATTTCAGAATGGTTAAATTTGAATATTTTGTGCAGAATGACAAATTGGAGCTATTAAAACCAGGATCTCTTCAACATCTTGGAGAAAACATGCTTGCTTTCCTGCTTCAGATTGCAAAATCCTCTCATCTTTCAAAAGCCAATGCAATGGTTGAAGACATACAATCTAGCCATGATACTGCCGTATATTATGACATTTTGGTACCTTCATAATCTCTGGCACATGGTTCTGTTTCGAAACCTTCTTTCTTTTTAATTTCCTACCTGCTTTTTTTCCCTCTTAAGTCATGTTATATGTTACCATGAAAATTTTTAAGGATGCTTTTGCTAAAACTTTGTTGATTTCAGGGGCAATATATGGTTACATACCGCCAGCGGTTTGCAAACATGCTTCTAAGTTCAGTGATAATTCAGTCACTTATGATATGGGTTACATCTTTGCTTATGGGTGGTTCTACAGCTGCTGTTTCTTTGGCCCTTTCATGTTTGAGCATTATCCTCATGTGGATATTTTCATTAAGTTTCTCTGCTCTTTCTGCATCAATTCTACCTCTGATATCTTCGTCACCGTTGCCATATCTTTCAATCCCATGGTTGGTTGTGGGGTTATTTGCTGCACCTGCTTTTCTCGGGGCTTTAACTGGTCAGCATTTGGGCTATCTTGTTTTGCAAAGATATTTATCAGATGTTTATGCCAAGAGAAAACAGCTGTCACCTGCTATCCAAGCTGATCTGGTCAAGTTAGAGGCTGAAAGATGGCTCTTTAAAGCTGGTTCTCTGCAGTGGCTAGTTCTCTTGATTATAGGAACTTACTATAAAGTTGGATCATCTTACATTGCTCTTGTTTGGCTTGTTCCACCAGCATTTGCATGTAAGCCGACATTTACTAGTTTGCCTTTTACGCTTTACTTTTTGTTACTTGGATGAATATGAGGTCTGTTTATGTTTAAGAACAATGTACATGTTCTGATTGCTGAATTGTGTCCCAGTGGAGTGGAAGCATGGTTGGCCTACTTAATGTTGATAACCCATGTGAAATTATTTTATCTTGTCTTTTATTCCTAGACAATATTTGGAATTCGGAATTCCCATACTGGTGGCATTTTTCTTTAGACTAATTTTCTTTACCATATTCCTCAGATGGCTTGTTGGAAGCAACATTAACCCCAGGACGGTTGCCGAAGCCTCTCAAACTTGCAACCCTGTGGATGGGATTGGCCATTCCGATTTTAGTTTCAGCGGGTCCATTCATTAAATTAGTTATCACAATGATTGGACTTAGTGTACGATTTGTCAGGTAAAAGTTATAAGATGATTCTTCGTTTGAATGTTTGTGCTTAAACAGTATGCCGGCTGACAGCATTTGTGGTATAGGCTGAATTGGCATAGATTGCTCTGTTTAAGCAGAAACATTTTCGATGTTGCTGCTCTCAACTCAAACTTCTTTATTTAGTTTTGGAATTAATATCTTTTACTTGATTTTGATATTTATAAAGGGTCTGCTGACCTGGCTTGTTTTATATGCTTATTTAGACATCCAGGCGGTTCTCCTGAGTGGCTGCCTAGTGTGGCACTTTCCGTTTTTATCGCAATTGTTATATGCCTAACTCTGGTGTATCTCCTTTCGTATGTTCATCTCTCAGGTATTCATCTATCACAAATTCAGGTGTTTAATTGTTACATAATGCTTTCTATGGTTTCCCATGGCATTGACATGCTTGTTAGTGATGACGAGATGTCAACACTGGGTTTTTATTGTTTAATGAATATCAAAACAATAAAATTGCAAATATATTAGCCATTATGTACGGTCATCACCCACATTTAAGGTTAAAATATACATCTTGTAAGCATAAAAGGGGGGGTTAACCATCAGTTCTCCCAGATTCAATTACTTATTTTTCTTATTGTCATATGTTTTAACCATCGCTTTAAAACTTTTCTCCCATGTCTCCACTTCATTTACGTGCAATAAATATGTATCAAAAAATTATTATTGAATTGCGTGTTTATTATCTTCTCGTTGTGTAGGTGCAAAAACATCTATGGTCCTTGCGACTTGTATTCTGTTTGCTCTGTCACTTGCTGTGGTATTTTCTGGTATAACTCCGCCATTCACCGAGGAAACTGCCAGAGTTGTGAATGTAAGTTCCAAACCTATAGTTCCGGCATCTAATTACATATGTTTAATGTCGTCTTAAGGTAACATCTGAAGCTTTTTATGGTTCCTAGGTGGTCCATGTTGTGGATACAACAGGAAGATTTGGAGAAAAGCCCAGCTCTTACATATCTCTGTTTTCCTTCACTCCTGGAGTGTTTACTGCGGAAGTTGAGGAAATTAGAGAGGGGTTTGTATGTAGTAGACACAAGGCCATTGATTATGTTACTTTTTCGGTCTCTTATGGCTGTTTGACCTTCGATGAAACCGAAGAGGGATGGGATGAATCTGATATTCCCACACTGAAAGTTGTTGAAGATGCAAATGGAGATAAGAGAATCACACGAGTGGCAATCGATACAAAGAGGTCCATTCGCTGGTTTCTTTCAATCAACACCAGGGAAATAGAAGATTTCACGTTTAAAGGTATTATGAAAGTTTTTTTATGTCTATCATTCATATTTTTGTTTGTTCATAATCTTAGCTTCGACCTCGAATGCAGTGGATTCGGAGGAGTTAGTTCCAGCGGATGGTAAGCGTGGCATAGATGGATGGCATACCATTCAAGCATCAGGAGGGAAGAATGCACCAACAAAGTTCGAACTCACACTCTTCTGGATTCAAAATTCGACACTGAATTCACACGAGATGTTGCAGTCGGAACGACCACTCTTGAATCTCAGAACCGATCTTCCCGGAGTTATGACACCAAAGGCTGAAGCAGTCCTTCAGAAGCTTCCGCCGTGGTTTACGTTGTTTGGGAAGTCCACATCTCCTCACACACACTCGTTTTTGAGTAGTCTTCCTGTTAATTTTTAGAATACCTGCATATTCAGATGTTGGACTTGGACCCATTAGCACTCTTGGTACTGCAAAAACTTGTACACGAGTAGGCAACCTAGCGTCATTTTCTATTTAAATCTATATGTATATGTATGATGTATAGGTTCCCAGCTAAAACTAATTGCGTTGAAATAATTAATATATTTATCATTTTATCACGCAAATTCTTCTATTGATTATAAGTTTTCTTTTATTCATAATTTCATTATTTTCTTTGAGCTTTACTTGAAAGCGATCTTGTATTAATTAAATCAAATGAGACTTCTCTGTTAAAATAACTGATGCAAGTAATTATTATTAGGTGAAAACTCACCACAATCATTTTTCCAGCAGAAAAAACACATAATCCCAGATTTTCACAGAGAAAGAAAGGCCATTCTCTCTATGTACACCCCCCAACAACACAAACCAAACTACAAAATAGCGTAGACTTCATTATTCTCCTTTTCTACTCCCAAAATATGTTTCTGTTTGCCTTCTTCCCCATGTTTTTTTATTCATTTATACATGTAAGACTTCTTGATCCTTCGACGAAATCACCTCCACAAACAAAATTTTGCAAAATATATGGGAAAACAACTTTGGAAAACTATTATCTCGGATTTGGTTGCGGTCCAAGGGACCATGACGGTTGGACAAGCCTTTGAGTCGATGGACTACCTAGTAACGTTGCCTGAGAGCGAGTAAGCATGTCGACCATTGATGGAGTTTGATAAGCTTGAATCAGACTTGAACCGTCAGTGGAGTCGCCTCTTGCGGTTGCTCTTTGCCACGAGTGTGAGCTCAGTCCCGATAGGATGTATGCTCTCCCGGATGCCTCATACACGTGCCTGCTTGCCATCCTTTCTTGCATCTCCTTGAGTTCAGCATCCAATGCAAAACAAAGTCGGTCATGAGCTTTGGCCGAAACGGTCTCGGACAACAATCTTCTACAGTTTTCAAGTATTGAAACAGCACTTGCTAGATCTCCCCGTTCAGCTGTCGTTCTCATGAGCTTTGGCCGAAACGGTCTCGGACAACAATCTTCTACAGTTTTCAAGTATTGAAACAGCACTTGCTAGATCTCCCCGTTCAGCTGTCGTTCTTGCCTCCGCCATTGCCTCGGCTGCTCTGAACCTGTTGCGTTGCCTGTCTACTTCGATCGAAACTACTTCCTGCCCAACTACTTCAAGCCTTTGAATCCTAACAACGTCACTCTCCAAAGTTGTCATTTCTTTAGTTAATGGATCCCTATAAACACAATTCACCTTTAGCAATGATGTTTCACATTCAGATGGCTCGGCTGGTACTTTAACCGACACCAAAAAATCCCTCTCTTCGTCAGCATAGAGATCTCCAACCTCAATAAATCCAGTTTTTCCATCAGCTGTCACATGGCTCGGGTAACTGCCTGCTTTAAGTGGACCGAGGCAGATACTTGGATTCATGCACTCCACGCCCACTTGCAGCTCTTGAACTACAACGCTTAAAAGACCACCAATGCATTGTGCAAATGCATCCTGGATTACAGCTTCATTTTCGATAAAAGAAAATGTCCCTCCAGAGATCTCTGAAATCGAATGCATTGATGATGCATCGTGATCGGCGCCAAACCCAAAAGCATGCACTGGAACATGGAATCCCGTGTTATCACTCCCATGCATAGACAGAGGGAGAAGCAGCTGGTAATTCGGTTGAGACTTGTTTGCACCAGCACCAGTCACGGTATAAGTATCCTGCCCATCCGACAAAAGTATTATGCTTGCAACTGGATTCTTTTCCCTTCGGTCTTCCATTACCTTGGCACCTTTTCTCAGGCCTTCAGCTATGTTGGTACCACCATTTGCGACCAGAGAGTTAACAGCATGGAGTGCCTGCTGCCGTCCTGTATCAGACATTAGACGAAGGGGGAAGAGGCGGCGAGCTGTTGAAGAGAAGGAAATGACCGAAAGTCTGTCATTGGAGCCAAGGTTCTGAATTACAAACCCCATTGCCCGTTTTAGCAATGCAAGCTTGGTGCCAGCCATGCTACCACTGATATCAAGCACGGTAACTAGGTCAACAGGAGCACGAGGATTTTGATAAAGTTGTGGCCAGCAGCTAGCATGATTTCTGTTCAGATTTTGATTTGCAGCTGAAGCAGCAGCTTTGAGATGAACAAGAACGGTGAAATCTTTGTAGGAACTGGACCTTCGTGCCGCCGAAACCTCGGGGTATGTTTTGATCTCTATTGCTCTAGGAGAAGAATTATCCAAGGCATTCATACTCTCAGCAACCACAAGTAGGTGATCCAACATTTCATCATCATTGAAAACACCTGGTTCAGGAGCCTGAAATAATGGTACAACATGTCGGCGACTTAAATCTCTATGAGGTGGAGGTAACCGGCGGACTACAGTCATCAAAGCATCATTTTGTGGCCAACCAGCAGGATTGGTTGCCGCCCTGCCAGGGGTAGGATTTAAACTAGGGTTCTGCATGGGGATTTCTTTCCATTTTGCTTTACAAACCGGACAAATTTGATTACCATGCTTCATGTTATAAGCAATGCAATGGAAATGGAATGAATGAGAGCACTCTGCCGTGAAAATAGCATGGCCAGCTCCTTGTTTCATCTTGGTCAAACATATCGAACATGTTTGCTGAAACAAAATATAACAAACAAAATTAGCATCTGAAACAAAGCTCATATATCATCAAACACCCACATGAGTTCAAGAGTAAAAGAGAATGAATCCCACAATGTATCGGTTAGAAAAAAAAATAGCATCGGCAATTATTTATAGCAGCAACAACACTCGACTGTGCCACTATACAAGCTCCAGGACAGCAATGGAAGAAATTAGGTATAATCCAAAAAGTTTAAAGGATAAATCATTATTCATCACAATCCTTTTAGCTATCTAAAAACTACGTTCCTCGAACTCAGTTGTGAGTGTCGGACAATATAAGCTCCAATTTTTCCACATCTTCATGTATTTAGAGAACCCTTGATCATATTCTCATACCCATATCCGAATAATCGTAGGACACTATGCTTCAAGAATACGGAAAGACAGAACAACGTAGGCTAAAAGGAAAAAAAAAGAAAGAAAAACTGTTGGGAATAATAAGGTTTAGGTGTGAATGAAATTTACTTGGGACAGACATAAAAGCAGCACAAAACAAAAAGGGGCACAAATCAATTAGGGGGAGTAATTAATCAGTCAGCAAAACTAAAAAGAAATCAATGTTAGGTATCCAAAAAATAAAGGGAAATGAAGCTAAGAATTAAAGAAGTAACTTTTGAGAAACTATCAAGAAACTATTCACCAGGTGAATCCAGAAAAAAATTGAAAGCCGCTTTCACGATGAAAAAGTATTTCAAATTATGCTTGTAGGCTTCTTTTTTAAATCTCTTTGATGACATTATTTGCTATAGAAAGGTTACAATTTTAACAGGCAAAATATGAGGCCATCGAGCAAAGCAGATTTTTCCTTTGTCACAAGGAGGGAAAATAAAGGTAAAAGTGACCCTGAAAGGGATTTTATGCACTAACCATGGAAAATTCCAAAGCTCAACTAGTTTAGGTCAATAAACCATCTTGATCATCAATAAATGTTAAAATATGACCGGAACACTGCAAGGAAAAAGTTGTGCTAGCCAGATAAATGAGAGAAGAATTTCAGAGAACAAAGTCGATGCAATTGCATCAGCAGCATATAAAAACGAAGACTCGAACAATCATTCATACAGAAAATACCACAAACATCAGGAAGATAACATTTGAGAAATTTCAGAGAGTTCACCCCTATCGCTTTCAAAGGGAAAATACATTAAGATAAGCTCAAAACAGATAAATTTTCATCCTGCAACCGATAGAGAATTCTGAATCCGATACCATGGTACAGATCTTGATCATTCAACTAGAAATATCAGCATCATTAGCCTCAACAAGTGAAATATTATAGTACTGCTAGTAACAATGGCAAATACATAACAATCATGGTCTCCTAGTTTGCTGCCTTTTGCATTCTATTTTCTCAAATAAATACGAAATCCATTACCAAAAACTATATAACCTTTTCTTTCCAACCCAAGCTATTTCCTAAGGAACCAGACAGAAACTACAACTGTCACTTCTCAAATTTATAAATCATTAGAATTTAGAAGCCAAACAATAGAAATCCCTACTAGCCTCAAAAGTTCATCTTTCCTCGTTTTCCCCAGCAACAAATAAGACAGGCCTAAAAGGTCCAAAACAGCCCTTATTTACAGAAGAAAGAAACAAAAGGATTTTCCAGGAACGTTGAAGAACTGATCCATGCCATTAAGGAAATTGTTGGTTTACAATTAAGGGGTAGAAATCTTAATAGATTAGATAGTGTTAATATTACTCTTTGTAATAATTGGGGTATTATTTGATTGCCGATATTTTTTGTATGTAGGGCAATCTTTGTATTTTTTGTAGCAGTTCCTGCTCTTTGATAATAAAAATGAATTATCCAAAAAAAAAATTCCAAAACACATAATACTAACAAAATGAAAACCCCTTTTTTAAATCTCCTTCACCCCTCCTCCCCAACAATTTATAATTAACTATACAACTTGGTATAAGAAAAACAAAAACAGATCCTCATTTATCACTAGCAAAAACAAAACATGGTTCAGACAGCTCAAAGAACATTAAGAAAGAAGAGAAGCAAACCTTGGATGATTTGCTTGAACTTCTAGGCAACCTCAAACCATGAGCAGAAAGCGACGGAGTCATTGGCCTAGAAGCTGCCATATTAGTCGAGTTTGAAGGAGATAACAAAGCAGCATCAGACAGCCTTTCACCGGAAGGAAGTGAACGATAATCACCATCATCTGAAGTTCTAGGTAAATAAGCACACAGATTCAAGCCCAAAGCCATCTTCGCTTTTCTCCATTTGCTACCCATTTTGACTCAAAATAAAGTGTTCTGAACTTAAAAACAAAAACACAAAGCTAAAAAAATGGATCTTGAAGTTGATTCTTATGTCAAGTTATCTTTCACAGAGTTTCTCTTTAGGAATGGGAAAGCAGATGGAGAAAGATAAAGGGTCCTTAAAGAAAAAAGTGGAAATTGAACACAAAAACCAAGAGAAACAAATATATAAAGAGAAGAGAGATTTTATGGAGTTTTTTCGTTTAAACTTTATGAAAAGCTGTAGGTTT